AATCCCACAAAGCTGCAAAAGTGAAAGCTGCAGATTGCAGTAGGCAACAGTATTTACAACAAGCATCTAATAGCATCAAACAGCACCAATCAGTATAGCCCATAGCAACTGCTCAAGTGAAATCAAAACAATTCGAATCCCAGAATCTCGTTTTCCCACCAGGGACTTGGATCCAGAAAATATATGAAAATATGCCACGACACCACAAATAGTGAAAAAAGTGCCCTCTCTCCCCCACGGAGCCGTGGGAACTTTTCGGCTCCCGTGGCGATCCACGGCTGAGGCTCGCCCGGGTGCTGGAGGCGCGTGGTGCCTTCGCGGAGGCCGAGCCGCTGCGGCGCCGAGGCCTGGAGGCCCGGGAGCGCCTGTGTGGCCCCGAGCACCGCGCGACGCTCACGGCGGTGTGCAACTTGGCGTCGGTGCTGCAGCGCCTGGGGAAGTTCAGCGAGGCGCCGCTGATGTGCTGTGCTGCAGTCACCGTGGCGGGTGGATGGTGCTGCATTTTGTGTTGGGAAAAGTTGGGAAAATGCAGGGAAACAATCAACGCATTTTCAGATCATCTCAAAATTTTGTCATCTATGTAGAAGTGCGTTGATGCATGAACATGTCAATTTTACGCAAATCATTTCAAATCATCTCAAATCACGTCATGTATGGACGTGCCAAAACATGGACATGTCAAAGTTTAGCAAAAGATGTTTGCAAAGAACAGATGCCACGTTGCAAGTTTCAGTCTGAGATGTCTGAGGCTGTCAAAGCGTTTTTGTAAAAAAACACAGAACAGATGCACCCTGAGGTTGGAGTTTATTTGCAAATGGAAGATTGGAACGACGATGACGCACATCCAAATTATGTTGAAATGTCAACTCATCGAACTTTGCGTTTTATTCTTCAAGTTTTGAATTATGTGTGCATTTACATGGTATAATTGTACTTGACATCTTTTTCATCAATCCAAACTCAAGGCCGTTGCCCACCTTTCTTCCCTTTCCACATGGTACTCGCAGGCGGATCCAGGCCTGCAGGCCCCACACCACCGGTGCCATCCCGAGACGCCAGGCGGAGGCCCTGCACCGCCGAGATCTTGCAGGGAGCGAAGCGCACCTCGGTGCGAATCATCCGCACACGCTGATCTCCATGAACAACCTTGCCATGCTCCTGGAGCAGCAGGGGAAGCTGAATGAGGCTGGGCTGAGGTCTTTGGATGGAGAGAGGTGACCTTCCTGGAGGACGCTTCACATTTTTGGTTTGACCAAGGCCTGAGGCCTGCATTTTCTTCTTGTTTCCCGGTATTGTTGAAACGATGTCACAAGTGATTCATTTATGCAATTATTGATGATCATTGCAGGGTTTTTTGTCTGTATATATTATATAGTATATATGTACTTGCTTTTGTTTCCCACACCTCCTGACCATGTGCCCACCCTCGGCAAAACCTCATGAAAGTATAGTATAGTCACCCTTTATAACATTCTCAAAAGAGTTCATCAAACCTGAAGAATTTCAAGATTCACTATACCAGCAGGGAACTGCGTGGCTTCTGAAGTCACCAACAGGATAGTGTTGCCAACCTAATTCAATGAAGACCAAGGAAGTAATTTTGCAGATGCACCCTCTTTCTTGCCGTTTGGCATTGCTTCTCAGACGCGCTCCCCCTGGTTCCCTGGGGTCGGTTGCAGGTTGAGGTCTTTGGGGTGAGAGGTGACTTTCCTGGACGTTTCACCAAGGGCATTTTTTGGTTTGACCAAGGCTTGAAGCCTGGAGATTCTTTTTGTTTCCCGGTATTGTTGGATGATTCTTTTTGTTTTCTGAGTTTGGTTTTTTCACAACGGGAAGATTGGAACGAAGATGACTCACATCCAAATTTTGTTGAACATGTCAACTCATCGACCTTTGCGTTTTATTCTTCAAGCTTTGAATCAGCTTTGAATTATGTGTGCATCTTACATGGCACAATTGCACTTGACATTTTTTCCATCAATCCAAACACAAAGCCATTGTTCATCTTTCTTCCTTTCCCACATGGTCACATAGTACTCACAGGCGGATCCAGGCCTGGGGCCCCACACCACCGACGCCATCATCCCAAGACGCCAGGCGGAGGCCCTGCATCGCCGAGCTCTTGCAGGGCGCGAAGTGCACCTCGGCACGAATCACCCGGACACGCTTCAGTCCATGAACAACCTGGCTGCCCTCCTGTGGAAGCAGGGGAAGCTGGATGAGGCGGGGCTGAGGGTCTTTGGGGTGAGAGGTGACCTTACTGGACGTTTCACCTAGGGCATATTTTTGTTTGGCCAAGGCCTGAGGCCTGGATTTTCTCTTGTCAATTTCCCAATATTGCTGGATTACCTTTTTTGGGCGTAATACATCGTTGGGACCTCCATCCACATTTCATAGTTGTAATCGGCAAAATGAACACATGGCAAAACTGTCACATCTTTCCGGTGAATTCTTGCAAATGAGGCCTATAGATGGCTATAAGGCTATAATATAAATATATCTATATAGGCGCATGCTGAATGAAAGTATGACATCTGCAGGACCCCCATACTGTTCCCACTCGTTTCCTGGTTGCAGCCGGCAACCCACGAAAGCTGTGCGATTGATATTGATATATGGAGATATACATATATAATCATATATACTGTATATGGTAGTTTGCATACCGCAGTGACTACACAAATTGCCTGACACTTACGTTGCTAGTTTGTAGCGCCGCAGCGGCGCCACCTCGAGCCGCCAGGCGGAAGAGCTGCAACACAAAGTGCTCGCAGGGCGTGAAGCGCAGCTGGGCGCGAGCCATCCCAACACGCTAATCTCCGTGAACGTTCTCGCTCTCATCCTCGAGTCGCAAGGCAAATTGGAAGAGGCCAGACCGAGGTCAGGGGCAGAAAGGTGACCTTCCCCGTGGAAGTTCCAAGGGGAAGGCGCTTTTTTTGAAGTAAACAAGAGTGGAAGAGTGGACGCTTCCATGTCTCCAATTTGGGCATCTCCTAAGTTTCGCCCAAATTCAGTAGCTGAATTGCTCGGGAATGAAATCCACACATGCAATGTGCATCAGGGTTGGTGCCAAGGATCTGTCCTCCAATTCCCGAGAGTCAAACTATGAAGGCTCAGCGGAAAACTAAGAAAAGTACAAACTCCTTTCAAAGAGTTTCATCACTGACAGACTCTGAAGATCTCTGAAGAATCTTTGGGGTTTGTTAGGCAAAAGAGAACTGTACGGCTTGTGACATCACACTGGGAAACACAACAGCATAGTGATGATGAGTGATGTCAATACTGTACTAATTTGGCGCAGTTCAACACACGCCCTAGATTTTTGTGTTTCCAAAATCAGTCAGCCAAGGCTGTTTGTAAGACCCTTCTTCACGATACCAACACCTCTTTAATTGATTAAACCCGGACTCTTGATTCTATGTGCAAGAGTTTCCGGATCACTATAAAACGCATGCAGCATATTTCCAAATGGGCGACTGAGGCCACATACAGCTTATTGATTTGAGAACGATGACGAAAGCGGGCAATGATTGCCCCAGGAGTGTGACGTACTCCCAGCAGGATCAAAATCAGCTAGATGGGAATGATCGTGTGTCAGTTGTTTGTGTGAGGAATCTGTGAAAGTCTGAAGCTATGAACGTGAATTGGCACGTTAAAGTGGTTTGCGAAGAGTCTTCAAAGCGCTGAACAAAACGCAGCTTGCCAAAAGGTTGCCAACAGGTACAGGCTCAACGTCCCTGTTGGCTTTTGAAGTTTGCAAATTCCTGTGAGATGTATGATCTTAGTTGGCCGCATAGGCACCTGTTTGATTGTGACAGTATCACCAGTTCAGCTGAACCTGTGAAGGGAGTATTTCTTGTTATATGCAGTCTAGCCATATCTAGCCTGCCTACATGCTCGGCAGGGCTTTTCGAGGCCCTTAGCAGGTTTAATCCGTTGATTATTTTCGAGGGCGTTTGACAATGTTTGAGATGATGACCGATCATCCGAGCCGTAGCCCCCTCCGTGGTCGCCCCAGGGTTGTTTCGTGAGAGCGGGCCAGCAATGTGAGCAAACACTGTGAGTAAATTGAGTAAATTGATGCTTCTTGGCATCCCGTGAATCCAAAGAGTGCTTGACGAGCGCTTGGAATAGCATGTTCTCACTATAGTCCAAAAATTGTGGCCTTTGTTGGCTTATTCTTCCCTTTCCATGACCCATGGGGCCTGAGCTGGGGCTCATCTCATGTTTCACCACCTCAGCACTCCATCTCGAGCCGCGAGGCGGAAGGGCTGCACCGCCGAGCCTTGGAAGGCAAAAAGTCCCAACTGGGACCGCAACATCCCAGCACGCTCGTCTCGGTGCACAACTTGGCCGTTGTCTTGCAGAAGCAGGGCAAGTTGGAGGAGGCCAGGCCGAGGTCTTTGGGGTGCAGAGAGGTGGCCTTCCTGGCACTGCCGAGAGGAAGGCATTTCGCATGTGGCCAGGACGAGACGGGTGAGTTTTCTTTGCCAAGTTTCACCGGAGCAATTTGGGAATGTGAATTGATGCCTAGGCTGATGTACGGACAGATTTTGATTTGAGTTTGATGGGGAAGCATTTCTCGCCTGAGTGTTGGACAGCATTGCTGTTGGTGAATTTATTGTGAAATTATTGGGTTAACCACCAAAGACACGGGCCAAGCAAGTCAGAAGGCCTTGACTATTTGACTATCTTAAGTGGAGGCAAGTGCGGCAAGTATCGTAGTTTTTCGTGGCACCTCGTTCTGAATTCAAAGAGTGCTCGATGGCTTTACACAGAAGTTGCGGAAAGACTGGTACGGGTGAGTTTTCTTGCTTCCCACTTTCACCTCGGACTGAACCTATGATAGTTTTATGAATGATTTTGGCGATCCTCTAAAGTTGATTCTCATGCACCAACAACACATTGCCTTTCACCAGTTGCGGATCACAGCACAAGGCCCATCTCGCCACGGCATAGGAAGCCACCCTGCTGTCATCCATCCACAACCCACCCTGCAGGCGGAGGAGCTCTATCGCAGGGCCCTGACAGGATCCGAAGATCAGCTGGGCGCCGTGCATCCGCAGACCCTCCAATCCGTCTACAATCTCGCACATCTTCTGGAGGACAAAGGCTCCTTCGCAGAGGCAGGCTTCGGTCGGCTTGGATCGGGAGATGTAGATGTGGGAAGTTGGTGGAAGTTGAATAAGTGGCCTAACAGCGACGCCCTCCTGAAAGGAACAGATCTCACTGGTCTTGGCAAGAGTGTTGTCAAGATTCAAAAGATGATGTTTTCCAATGTTTTCTTTGTATAGATGTTTTCTAGATAGAGACGAGGTTTTGTGACATTCTCGTTGGGGATGCCCAACCGGTATTGAGATATTGCAAGTTCCAAGGGATGCGGTTGCAAAATCCCCTTGCCTATTTCCTCTACAAAGTTCGGGTGTCGACACCCAGAAACCAGAGCATTTTATAACATTTTATAGAGGAAGTTTTCTCCATAAAGTTCAAATCTGGTAGCCAAGAAAGGGGCAATATTTGAGGATATTTTTTTGTATACCATGGCGTGGTTGAACTTTATAACAGTTTTTTTGGTTTCCCTGCTTTTTCTCATGAAAAAGCAACCTGCTGAAAACGCATTTTGTAGTGGGGACGGCTGGTATTGTAGGAAACCAGTTCAAGTTTGTAGGCTTGCATGATGTCATGTTGTGCAATTTTTAGCGCGAAGAAGTTGGGCTTGGAAGGACCTATGTTGGGTGCATGTTGGGCTCATGTCGGGCCTTCATTGGGCCATGTTGGGCTGATGTTGGGCCTCGATTGGGCCATATTGGGTCTAACTTGGGTCGTTTGGAAGCAGTGAGGGCAATTTTTGGGATCCTTTTCTTCGCGCTAAAAATTGTGCAATTTTTAGCGCGAAGAAGTTGGGCTTGGAAGGGCCTCTGTTGGGCGCATGTTGGGCTCATGTCAGGCCTTCATTGGGCCATGTTGGGCTGATGTTGGGCCTCGATTGGGCCATATTGGGTCTAACTTGGGTCGTTTGGAAGCGGTGATGGCAATTTTTGGGATCCTTTTCTTCGCGCTAAAAATTGTGCAATTTTTAGCGCGAAGAAGTTGGGCTTGGAAGGGCCTTTGTTGGGCGCATGTTGGGCTCATGTCGGGCCTTCATTGGGCCATGTTGGGCTGATGTTGGGCCTCGATTGGGCCATATTGGGTCTAACTTGGGTCGTTTGGTAGCGGTGAGGGCAATTTTTGGGATCCTTTTCTTCGCGCTAAAAATTGTGCAATTTTTAGCGCGAAGAAGTTGGGCTTGGAAGGGCCTCTGTTGGGCGCATGTTGGGCTCATGTCGGGCCTTCATTGGGCCATGTTGGGCTGATGTTGGGCCTCGATTGGGCCATATTGGGTCTAACTTGGGTCGTTTGGAAGCGATGAGGGCAATTTTTGGGATCCTTTTCTTCGCGCTAAAAATTGTGCAATTTTTAGCGCGAAGAAGTTGGGCTTGGAAGGGCCTCTGTTGGGCGCATGTTGGGCTCATGTCGGGCCTTCATTGGGCCATATTGGGCTGATGTTGGGCCTCGATTGGGCCATATTGGGTCTAACTTGGGTCGTTTGGAAGCGGTGAGGGCAATTTTTGGGATCCTTTTCTTCGCGCTAAAAATTGTGCAATTTTTAGCGCGAAGAAGTTGGGCTTGGAAGGGCCTCTGTTGGGCGCATGTTGGGCTCAGGCCTTTATTGGGCCAGGTGAGCCATATTGGGTCTTTCTCGGGCCCAACTATCGGATGTGGGAGGATGTGCAGTTGGGAGGAAAATGCGCGCTGAGTTTCTTTGAGTCCTGGCATGTCCTGGCTATCATTGATTGGGATTGGCTTGAACAGAGGCCGTCTCTATAAAGCTCAGGGTTTCTCTACAAAGTTCAACATGGGTTGGACATTGAGGGTGAAAATTCAAACCCTTTTTCCAAGGCACGTTGGAGCTTGAACTTTATAGACGTTTTTTTTTGCGTCAACCCTTGATTGGGTAGGTTTTTGGTTTTGTACCACCTTGAACTTTACAGAAGCTCAATGCCATGTGGGTGCTACCCACTTTGAACTTTATAGTGATGGTCTGGGGACCATTTCGCAATTTATAGCTATAAAGTTCGGGCCCCAACTACCTGCTGGAATTCACAGGGGGGTGTTGCAAAGTCATCAGCCCGGGTCCCGGGTGGCCACACACCACGTGCACCGCATCATGTCCAGGCGGGGCAGCTTTATCTCCAACATTTGCGTGGCATGGAGGCCTCTGCAAGGGTCACAGGGGAACAGTCGATAGCCATCGATAGCCACTTGGTGGCCTTTGGTCCAGACATCACTAGTCCAGCTGGTAGTTGCTGCTTGTGGATTTTGGAGTCCGGATATGACATCTTCCATTAACAATATTTATTTTGATAAGATTTATCTCTCAAAGAAAAAGAACATGTTTCGATTTGATACGTGTCCTGTCTTTTTCTTTTTGTGTGCCATGTTCGGTGTTACAATTTCAGGCTGTCAGCTCTGTGGGTTGAACATGAAATCATTGATCACCCCGAGAGATCCCCGAAAGTTTTGCTAATGAAACTCGGTGCCGCTGTCAGAGCCGTAGCCGCAGGAGCTGCACGGGCCGGATTCCGAAGAGGTCCGAGCGAGTCGCAACAACCTGGAGCGATTCCAACGAGTGCACGGTCCAGTCGCTTGAAGGCGATGGGAAAACCCGAAATTTTGCCGTGAAGACACTCACGGGTCACATGTCTCATCGCGTTGCTTTCTTTAAAAGGACCAGTTGAGAAACCCACCAAAGACTTTAGATACTTTAGATTCTTTAGATAGAAAGCTGGCCTTGCCCTATTGCCAAGGATTTTGTTTCTGAGGCAGCATGTGGTGGGCCGTTTGAATTTCTCAAAGTTCTGCAGGTTCTGCAAGTTAGTTTTTGTTCAGCAGATGTTGACCGATAGAAAATTCTACGTTTGAGTTTCTGCCAGACTTGTTGCAGTTTGGGTTTAGGAACGGCTTGACGTACCAAGACCCCCCACAATGCTGATAACAGCGGTCCAACAAACTGAATTGGTTTGCCCGTGGGACTTGTGTTTGATTCGTTTTGGATCTGATTTAGGAGATTTGCAGGCAGATCGGCACCTTTGAGCCCGTGACCCTGCACATGGAGCCGCCAGCCAGCATCATATATTCGTATCAATATGTATCAATATCTCCCGTTTCACCGAGATCCATAGAAGGTTAGAACCCACAATCAGTGCTTTGAATTGCCAAGTGCCACGTGTGAAAACAGGGCGTGTGTCGATTTGACCCCAGCACAGAGCACTTGAAGGTCAGGGCTTCCAATCAGGATAGCGTTGCCCAGATTTATCGTTTCTTTATTGCAACTTGGCCTGCTTCTGGTCATGCGTCAACCGTCCGACTTTGGTGTTCAAGCTTTTGCCAGCAACTGATCTCGTCAAGCCAGTGAGGTAGTGAGTGCCTGGTCGTTATTTTGGCCAACCACTTACTCTATCCATGTGTCAAACAGAATGGGCCCGGAAATTGGTTCCCTATGAATTTTCCGAACATCTCTCAACTGTTTTTTGACCATGTCCGGGTGACCTCGAAAGACACCAGTCAACTGTCATAGCCCACCACTGGAAGGGGGTGGAAGGGGGGTGGTTCTCCACCGACTTAAAACCTGGTTTGTTTCCTTCTCAATTTGGAAGAGGCTAGTTGTGCACGAAGCGAATTCTGAGCAATCCAAACTTGGGGCATCAAGAGATTCCGGGGAGCCTCTTCCAAGATGGCGAGGTATTCCTTTGTGAACTTGGTCGAAGCTCAAATAAAAAACAGTTGTTTCTATTTGTTTCTTGCATTTGCTTACCAAGGCCCCCAAACACTTTGGACTGGTCAGGAAATCCTTGTGGAGCCCAAATTACACCCAACATGCTCGCAAGCAGCTGTGCTTCAACTGGTCATGAATATTTGGTCAGGATTTGCAACTAGTCAACTAGTCCATACATGCATAAGTTTGGTGCATGAGAATCCATTTCATCCACTGGCCCGGCAGTGCCGCGGGGCGTCTGATGTGCGGCACAAAAGAGGCACCGTGCCTTTTGGCAGGAGCATGCAGTGGGATGGCCCTGGAAGATAGGCGTGACACACATGCCAAGCACTTCTCAATCTTGAAACATGAGTCAAGGGCCAAACAAATTTCTGAGTCTTGGTCTGGCTTTGGCACCAATGTGGCCACCATTCGGAAGGACTTGCAGTTGACTTGGATCATGAGGATGATTTCTCTTCCATTGAGCAGGGTGTGAACGATGTCATTTTGAAAAAAATCTAGTTCAAGTTGCCTCGCATGCGAACGCCATGCGAACTGCAGATCCAAATTACTGATGATCGATCTTGCATGTAATTGCAGTATGGTGGACCATTTTGTGAATATCTAATGGCCCCCAAAATGGATGCCTTTTGTGAAGAAATCCCCAACATTCAAACACTTGTTGTGCGGAAAACCAGCGGCCCCAAAATGGATGCTGGATGCCTTTTATGGCACACATGATCTTGCATTGAAGGCTGTCGAGGCTGAAACAAAAGTGCCCCCAAACGGATGCCCTTTATATCCCTTTTTGAACCATGGAAAAACAACTTTTTTGTACAGGACTATCGCCCCGAAATGGATGCAGTGACAGGCGTGTTTTCAACATGCAAACCAGTTTCTTGAAACGGAATGCCGCTGAAAGAAATGAATGCCTTTGAACAAAGACTTTTGAATTCTCAGCATTGAAGCCTATTTTTTGTTGAAACCTGATGCCCCCAAAACCAGTGCCTTTCATGTCAAAGATGTTGTCAACATTGAATCTTGTTTCTTTCACATAACGCCCCCAAAATGGCTGCCTTGATGAAAGATGTTCTCAATGTGAAGCCAGTTCTTTTAAAGCAAAATGCCCCCTAAATGGATGCCTTTATGAAAGATGTTCTCAATGTGAAGCCAGTCCTTTTTTTGCAAAATGCTCCCCAAATGGATGCCTTTATGAAAGATGTTCTCAATGTGAAGCCAGTTCTTTTAAAGCAAAATGCCCCCCAAATGGATGCCTTTATGAAAGATGTTCTCAATGTGAAGCCAGTTCTTTTAAAGCAAAATGCCCCCAAATGGATGCCTTTATGAAAGATGTTCTTAATGTGAAGCCAGTTCTTTTAGAGCAAAATGCCACCAAAATGGATGCCTTTCTGAAAGATGTTCTCAATGTGAAGCCAGTTCTTTTAAAGCAAAGTGCCCCCAAAATGGATGCCTTTATGAAAGATGTTCTCAATGTGAAGCCAGTTCTTTTAAAGAGGAAAAT